GATGCTCCTCAGCAGAGCCTCCAAAAACTAGTCTAAAACTGGCCTGATCACAAACCAATACGGTATAAAAAATATTCGGAGGAATTTAGAATCTTCAGGAGAAACAAATGCAGTAAAATTAAGCCTAAAACGACGATTACTCACACCATCAATCAACGCACAAGAAAGCAGGCATTCAGGATAAATGTACCCAGCCATACATTCATTTTCAAACTGCTGAACAAATGGCAGGTAGAACATTCTCAAAAATCTGAATATGCCTCTCTGAACACAACTTTGGTTTTTTATTCTGAACAACGAATGAATCCTACCACAAACCAAATTTTTTAATGCGTATTCTCGTGGTTCGCTTTTTTTTAAAGCAAGACTCACAAAACTAGTCAATGGCTGAGAGACCAGAAGACATTATAAATGTTGCATCATTTTCAGCCCATAATCCGGGACAAATAATCATTTGCATCAATTTTTGGAAACGATAATTGAGAATCTCGGACTACTGGTGGCAAATGCGTTTCATTTTCCTTTTGAAATGCCTGGATCGTATTACTGAGACACGGATAAATGCGTCATGCCTCAGATTTCCTCATAGGCAAAACGTGAAGGAGCATTGACAGTTATACGGATCAATGAAAATGTCTTCCTCTTCGCGACTGTAGAGGAATCGCGGTGAATTATGCGTTCTCTCGGTTGTGCCTCGGAACCTTCCAGATATATCCCTTCAAACAAAGGCAGCTTCCAAATACAGTATCCTGGCTCTTCGGCTTTCTCTGTCCCCTTCATTCTCGCAAGTTTCGTTTCTCCTCTTGCTTTTTTACTATCATCATTGTTTCTCCTTCTTCGTCCCTCTTCGCGTCCTGACGGACGCTGTTCTGGGTATGAAGAGGCCGGCTTGATGGACCCCGATGCTAGAGCGCATCTTACGGTTGCCATCGCTCGGGAATACTTTATTCATGCGAGATGTCGGAGAAACGAGAATCTACCGGGTTCTCGATCAACGATATTTCCTCCGTTAATGCACAGTATCTGCTCTTGATGCGAGCGCTCTTTTTCGGCCCATTAGTAATCCCCGGGGCTTTGTTCTTGAGCGAAGCAGAAAAGAGTTGTTGGTATAGTAATAATTGGTGACGCACATACGGGCTCTTCCTGCTGTCAATTCCAATCGCCGCCGGTTGAGGGACACATAGCTTCACATAAATGATTTCGCAGAACTCGATTCCTTATACTCGCAGAACAACGAAGAGCCTATGTATAGATAGGTCCTATATCTGCCGCATTCATCTTTGCGGGCTTCGATCTTCCAAGTACAAAGCATCTTACGAAAATTCGCTTCAACCCACTGAAATGACCTGTCACCATGAATTAGGCTGCTCATACTCACGTAAGCGTACAGAGAGGCGTTAATTGGTTGTTAGCTCATCCATCCCGACAGCGCGATTTAAGGAAATGGTGCGAGGACACGGAATTCTACGCCGACAAGTGCAACAGAAGAACTTTTTTTAGTTGAATTTTCAATGGGAAATTGACAGATAAATTAACAATTTTAACGGGTTTAACAATTAGGGTTTTCCGCAGAAAGTTCCGTCATTGCGGTCTTCACAAGGTCCATAATCGCGTAGGTACGAAGTGTTTTCTTGTATCCGAAGTCAGGAAACAAGCAAGAACCACACTGCGTAACATTTTAAAATGTACGGAATTCCGATTGTCTTACTACTCAAATGTACAGTACTGTTCAATATTCAGAAATGAGCGCAGAGGGGATGACTTTCAAATTCCAAGCACTTGATAGAATCCAGCAGCCTTCGCAGGAAGATGGCGTCGAGCAAAATTTAAGGAGGGACGTTTCCGGAAATTAAATTGATACAAGGGTAGCAGATTTTGGTCTTCTGGTTTACAGTGAAGATGCGTTTTAGAAAAATTGTAGAATAGTTCTTCCAATAAGAAGGATGAACAATAACGTCCTCTCCGCTTGATCTTATAACCCTGACATATTGAAATCCAGCATCGCGCAGTACCCTAATGCCGATCCGGTTAAAATTATTTATTCGAGCACTGTACGAAAGTAGCAGAGTGTACCACGCAAGTAGTACCACGTGAAAAAAAAATTTTTATGTGAGAGAAAAATAGGGTGAGCTCCATACGTGAGTACACATTTTAAAAAAGTTTTAGAAATGTTGATGAGCATTTTGCTTGATTCGAATGGGAAATTTTGGACCAATTTCAACAACAAAATTTAATCTGATGGAAACCATTGGACATTAGTTGACTTCAGGTTCAGTTCATGTCTAAATTCAAATTCGGGTGTTCTTATTTTTGAAATACAGTATTGAGGTCTTAAGAGTCAATAAAAATGGGACGAGCGGTTTACTCGGGGATACAATTGTATAAAAAATTTCAACTGAGAAACCCCGATGCCCGTCTCACTCGAGGGCGCGTGGTACTCGAGCAAATACGGTACAGTATTTTACTCCCCGCAGAACCAGACAATTCTCGTATGACTCACCGTAGTTTGAACAATTATAAGTTTCATATCGAACTGCTCGTGCTCTGGAAAGACTCAGGATCTCAGCGAAGGCTTGGACTAGGGAAAGAAGAAGCAAGCCCATTACGGATGCCGTCGCAAAGCCAGCAACAGCAGGTCAAGCGTCTCTCTTCTTTAGCCCTCTACGTGGCTCGCTCGACCTTTATAAAGGATAGGTGCCCAGAACCCTACTTTATAAAATGACCTACACAGTGATTGCGTGCAAAGGTAGTTAGACACCGCTAGGATAGCTCCCGGGCTTTGCTCAGCGATGCTTGGAGGCGAATCCATTCCTTCCTATCTGTTCCACTGTACTGTATACCATCATGGGCCGTCGTGGAAGAAGGAAAAACCACAGGGCTGATGGATATCTCCGGAGCTTGGCCCGATAAATATTGCGCGGGATGAGAGAGCGGGCCTGAATTTCGGCCTGAGAGCGGCACTGTCGTAATGGCCACTTCGACTGCTGTACAAGCCAAGAGCTTCCCATAATACTACGTTGGGAAAGTTTAAAGAAAGCCCAAGCGCGCAACCACATGACGTAAAATGAAATAAGAAGCTTCGGGAGGGCCAGCGGCTGAAGACTGAAGCTTTCTTGCTCGTATACCTTGTCGAAAAACTCGCACGGACTGAAATAATACCTATTGGAAACAATTTTAGACCGAGTTCCCAATAAAATAATGAAATTTCATCATTTCGTGCGGGGCCTGCATCGCGTATATTTCTAGGGTCGCGATGCTGTGACTCACGGCATGCTACTCATGAAGTGGAAGGATTAAAAATGATGAAAACCAGGCGAAGATGAAGCCATCTTGTGACTATATGTCTTCATAAAAAGCCGACGATTTTTCCTTGGTTATTCTAGCACCCCATGAATTTTTACCAGGCCCACGTATATATTACCCAACTGACAATCACAGTTTAGAGATTAAATTACTATATAATTGAAAAATTGATGTTCATTGGTGCAGTTTTGGCCGCATTCTTCCTCCAAACTTTCAAATTCTGTCGTAAATTATAGCTCTCTTTAACTCCGACTTCCAATTATGTCTGACCACGGGATCTCACGGTGTGGGGGCCACCGATTTTTTCGGCGATCACTTCGCGGCAGATACAGTGTATTTGAAAATGTATGGTACCTCAAGAATTTATTCCTGAATCAAATTTTTAAAAATTACGTTCCCGTAAGAGGACAACACACCGGACCGTTCCATTAGTAGCTCGGTTTGAAGTGGAAGCTGGATTGAATCGAGTCGACACGCAGTCACTGATCAAAAGTCGTCGTATGAAAATACAGTAATGCACTGTACTTCATACGATAGAAGCCCTTTTTGGAGAGAGCGACATCTATAAATGAGATAATCGCGACGTACTCCTTCACTAGATAAAATCCTCCCGGTGACGTCGCTCAGATACAGGAAGCTCAGCAGTCCGCATTTCAGCATGATCAGAAGATTTTTCAACACCAATATACAGTACTTCCTGAACGTCTCTATCAAGAGTCAAGACGCGTAACTTGAGCAGTGTGAGCAAGAACTCCACTTCACGGTAAATATTCTTCATGTACCTACTGTCATACGTACGTAAAAAATGTGAACACCATTCGTGAGAGGATAACAGGGAATTTCTTAAAAAATTTTTATATAGCTCAAGCGGTCAAGCCATTCAGTAGGAGATTTCGATGTTCCAAGATTAGTCAATATTAAATGGTTTTATTTAGCACATCTTGATTTGAATAAGACACGGGATCAGATTTTGAAGAATAAAGACTTCATTGCTAACATTTTGCGGCAATAACACAGCTTTTCACTGAATAAAATTCATTTTCCCGACACCAATTTTTGAAATCAGAATCACAAATACACAGCCAACTGCGACGACTTTCCAGACGTGACTGCGTAAAAACATCAAGCCAGATAGGGACATTTTTTAATGAATTCAATAAACCTTCCGAACCATGAAACACACCGTGCGTGCAAGCTCTATGTCATGTCATGCTAATTTTTTTACTTTAAGTGTAAAGAAATACTTGACACGGCTAAGGAAGATATCTGTTTAAAGATTGTGTTTTATTCAATTGAATGTCTCTTATGAAACAAATTTCACGCAACCTCAGCTTTGCTCATCTCATATTAGCAGCTGGAAAAATGCAGCAAGTGCAGAATCTGCCGTTGAATACATCACACGACAAAATAGTGCATCATTCGGATTCGACTGAATACAATAAGAATCACAGATTAAGTATACGAATTGGCACTACAATTTTACCGTCAGACCATCACCTCATCTTACACTCCAACGGACTTGGTTTGGGGCAAAACAAGAAAAATTATCACGAATATATCAGCTCAACAAAATATGCGCACTAGCCGAGATCACGTTTTCACATAACCTTGCGATATACACTTGATTCGTGTCCACGGTTAAAGAATCCCGGGGCGCAATAAGCTGCTGGTTTTGGACACTGCAATGATGGTGCTGCCTAAAGGTCCGCCGGAGGTAGTGTCCCGGGAAGCTGTACTAAAAGTCGGTAAAGCGGTAGTAAAACTGGTTTTTCGATTCCTTTCGTTTGCAGACCAACGAAAATTTGGTTGACGCCGCCTACAATTTTGGTTGAACCTTGATAACTCGAACCTCCATAACTCAAAAGCTTTTCCCCCGCAAACCCCTATAACCCAAATTTTCTGGAGACCTGGCAAATATTTTCGTGACCCAAGAAAGAGAAAAGCAATAAAAAAGTATCTTTGTGTTTTTCGAGAGGAAGTAGAAGCCTAATTTGGAAAATGCCTCCAAGTTCAGCATTCTGTCAATTTCTTCACAAAACACGTTTCGGACTTTTTTTTAGTGATTAAAGTTGAGGTAAGGTAAGGAAAAAGTAAATTCCGTTTGTACCATCGAAGGGGTTGAACTTTGGAAGTCTGTTAAAAAAAAAGCAGGGAAGAACCTCAAGCTGAACTTCTCCTTCAACTGTATTATTTTCTGGTAACTTTACCATGACGTTTGTGAACCCCTCGTAAAGCTTAAAAACTTTCCCGCATTTCTAATGCACACGTGACGCGAGCAGATAGCATGAAATTTACCACCACTATTGGTAGCAATGTTAACCCCCATGAAAAAAATGTGCAGTGGCATCAAAATTTCCCAGATATTTGATTATCTTGACTAAGGTACCAAGTAATTAGACATGCATAGTGCTATTCAAAACGAAGTGCCCCCGTCAAAAAAAAAGTTCTAATGGCGGGAAATATCGGCGCATTCGCTCGCAGCACGTCTCAAATCATGAGAAAAGAACGGACGACCTTTAATATTTTGGTGGGGAATACAATAAGAAGGAAAAATTATAAGTCATAAGACTACAGCCGAACCCGATCTGCAACCAAAAACCTTTCGTGAAGCTGACCAAATTGTACTTCGTCAGGATTAACATCTAGCTGGTCCTTATATATGAATTCAAAGGGATCCCTTCTAACATAAGCACATCACGGCACAACAAACCTGCTGCTTGCAGTTCTCCATTTGATTTTTTGGCACGAGTTCCTCATTCGTACTCGTTCCCGTCGTAGGTTCAACATAGGATTCCCGTACTATCGATGCTGGCTGGCGCATCGTGAACTCGGGGTTCATCATTTCTTCGATCACAGGCACTGACGTGGGCGACTTCTTATAAACATCGAAATGCACAGGGGGCGAAGTTTGACGCGATTGAGGAATGATATCATCTATTTCACGGCTGACAAAAGGGTCTTCAGTCAATCCTTTCGCCAAAATCTCTGCGTACGTCAATGGCGCCGAAGATATTGCAGGCTCGGCAAGATTTTTCAAATCCTCCGGGGACGAGCCTTCACGAGGGGGAACTATCAAATATGGTCCATGATGCAAATAATGGAAGATCACTTCGGTGCTTTTCACATTCGCTGGCTCCTGGAATACTTGCAACAGCGGGTAGGACGGATACGGCAAGAATGGTCCAGGATTTAAATATTCCAACGACTCAATCGGGGCAAATCCGGGTAGTTCCCCCATTTGACAATATTCAGCAGCTTTCTGCATCATGCTCAAAATTCTGGCGGTTTCCATCTGCGTCCGACTGCTGCTCCCCTCCGCTTGAGCATGAATACGATGCAAGTTATTTTCCAAGTCCATGGACAGCAGATAATGACCGCCGCGAATTCCCATCTACGGAAATATACAATTCGTTCGCTATTCGAGGTAGAGGATCTACGGAAATATAGAAGTCGTTGGCTATTCAAGGTAGAGGATCTAAAACTTGGGAAGCTTCAAACCGGCGCTAAATTCTGGGTTATGCTTGGAAAATGTCAAGTAAAAAAGGCAATATCATCCATCGGCTTTGCCTGTCTGAACAACATTAAATAGCAACAACAAAAAATGTCTCGACAATTTGATTCTCCTGTTATTATTGAACAAGGTGAAAAATAAGTATCTTTCCAAGGGAAAAAAAATATTCGATTGAATAGGCGGGATAAGAAGTGTAAGATCCAAGTTTCAAGAATACAACATTCGGCAAGCAAATGGTGATATCTTCAGATTTGGCACGTTTACGAGTGGTAAGAGTCGTCTTCAGGTAGTTTGGCAGATTTTTCGCCAGCGTTGTTAAGTACTAGTTAGTAAAAGCAATTAAAAACTGCTGTCTTTTATGTAGCGTAAGTCTAGAAAGCTTCTATATTCGTCTCACTAAAAGAGTTCGGGGTGCTGTGTTAGATTTCCTGCTCCTGGTTTTAGTTTTTTCTACTTCCTCGTACGGTCTGTATACAGTACAATCCAAGGAAAACCTACGCAGACTCGACAGAGACAATGCTCAAAACAGTTCAGTACATTTAACATTTTCTTTTACGGCTTTTTAATGTGGTTTAAAATTCTACTGCTTGCGCTTTTCATGGCATAAGGTCCCAGGAATGGACATCCCTGATAAAAATTAGGCGCCTGTGATGAAGGTAGGAAAGAAATGCTGGACCAAATTTCAAGGATCTACACAACAAAGACACACAGTATGCGAAATTGTGGCAATTGTTTTTTCGTCGAGTTTTGTCCTCTTGATCCCAATTGGTCTATATAGTGCATCGATCAATAGTACTCGGACATCGTTGCCACTCAAATCTTAGCTGAACGAATTATTTTCTTCGTCTGTTTTTTAATCACGGATTGGGCGACCAGTGATGTTATATAATCTACACTTTCAAAACAGTGCCGACTGAAACAAACAGTATTTGAAGAAAAGAAAATCCCACCTGACTAATTGCGTACATCAATCCCACTGTTCTCGCGACAATCTGATTCAGCATTTCATTTCTTCCGTACGTCAAAATCAGCATTGGGGCTGCGAAGCAAGCCATTCTCGAATCCAAAAAGTACTCTCTGGTCGCAGAATCACGCGCCAATACGATGAACATGTTTAGAACCTGAAACAAGCCTTTCTTTTTTTCCATGCACACTGAACTTCAGTTTCAATATTTTACTTTTCAATGCTACAAAAAAAGAGAGGCAAATTACATTTCTTGCTAAAGCGACGGTCTGAAGGATCCATCCCAATTTAATGTCACTTTTTTTTTGCGTGGAAAAAACCCAAATGAACCACATACAAGAACGAAATGACACTTGATCAGATTCACAATCAGCATTTCTGCACATGTCATGCACCTCTTACCGAACATAATATCCTCGTGTCCAGTTCGGTTACAGCCACGGATCCTACGATCAACGTATATCGTGAGGAGATTTCTGCCAGCATACAAGTCATGGCTCCAAATATGTTCTGAATATAACTTGCTAACGGCAAATCCAAATTTTGCACGATCCCTTCTCTAAAAATATAAAGGGATTACTTTCAAAGAAATAAGCACAGCGACTATACCGTGTTCGCCACAGAAAATACGACTAATCTCCAAACAATTTATTTTTCTCCAAACATGCACGAAGTTATTTCGATAGTTCCTAGGAATCTACGGGGTGAATTGGGAAACTTCGGCCAAACGTTAACCTCGCAAAATCGAAAGAAAGTTAAAAATCATGAACTTTTATTCGGCCGATTTTGGCAAAAACATTCGGTGTAAGCGCCGAATGTTCCTGCATACCAGATGGTCCTGGAGAAAGTCCCTCACGTCCGAAAATCCTGCATGCCCGAAAATCTTACGGGGGGAGAAAATCCCGAAAAATAAGAATTTATGCATCGGAAAAAGTCTCTTTTGATAACTACCGTAGGCAATCGTGCGTATAGGCAAAATCTAAATTATTATGCATAAATTTTGTTTGGAAGTCAAACTTTATTCAGCCTAATTTCAATCCAAATATTCATAATGCAGTACATGGTATAAACAATAAAAACACAAGATAAAAACTTATTTTCACCCTTCTATATATTTCGATTGAATTCCAGAATAGTTGGGAGTTTTTTGCGGGGTGTGTCTTTCCCGACGTGTGTTTCTCAGAGAACACAAGAGCGAAGAAGTCACAAAAAGATGGCGGGAGGGACTAGCTTAATTTTAAGGAAATGTATTCTGATTTGATTACTAACACATTTGTATTTTTGACGAATGATATAGATGCATCTTTAGCCCTCGAACCACAGCACTGAGATGGAAGCAGGGATTGAATGGCAGCAAGACAAGATGGAGACTACCTAACTGGAGCACCCTTCCATTTGGCCTTCTGATAAAAAAAAAAAAAAACTCGTGAAACCATGTAAATCTTGGCTTTCATGAATGAAGCACACAAACACAGTTGCTATTTAAAACCAGACGGCGCAACTGAATTTTGAAAAGGGGATATCTCCCCAATTTTTTAATTTAAAAGCTGCACGCGCTGCAAATTGTACAAGGGCACGTTGCAATCAAAAATAAGGATCATCAAATTAATCTTGACTAGTTGTTGGCTAAACCACATTTTTTCGGATATGATTCGGCCCGTGTGTCACTAACGTAGCCTCGAAGGTGTGCTAGGGTTTAATTCATGGATAAGTCATATTTTCGGCGGAACACGGTTCATCTCACCCACTCCAGTTTCAGCAAAGCATTCTGCTTCAATTCGGGTATGGAAAGATCTGTTAGCCATCGAACGATCACCAATTCGCGGTTAGGAACGCGTGAAAAAGTAACGGAAGGCGTGGATGGTTGCACGGCTTCTGTGGTTTTCATAATCTCGCTGCATCTCTCCATTACTTCCTACGCCAGAAGAACAGGCGAAAGTCACGCGATCGATTTCATTTCAAGAATAGCCACGGAAAACATGATCAAAATTACGAGTAAATGAAAAGTCTTCCGCTGTTCATCAAGATTCACGAACAAACATGACACTAACCTTTCTGAACGATGAACCTTTGGACGAAAAATATTTACAACGATTCGGAGCTATTAGAGGAACTTGGCGATCACTAAACACAGTCGCGAACCTAGAAAATAAGTCAAAGTTGCGTACAAAATTGGCTTGGGCGATTGACGGGAGAAAAATCCAAACTAGAATGACCAGCATCAGGAGGCAAAAACGTTTTAATATATCGTCCAGGAAACGAAAAAAACGTTCGAGATCACATCGGTTTCTGCTCTATGACCTGATGCGACCACAACAGGCACATTAACTTGGAATCAATAACACGTGACAGCCACAATCTGCCGGAAGTGGTTTCACAGCGACTGAGATGCATTACGGAAGCTCGAAAGGAACTGGCTCATTCGAAACCAGTATGCGGGAACTTCGATTAACATCGCAGTTTTCGTTTTCAAAACACGAAAAAAAAACCTGCTGACTCACTCTCGCGACAAGCATCGGCTGAAAATAAACTTCTCACGCCGACAACTTTGATGGAATGAAACTAGATTTTCCAAAACCGCACCGCGAACATGAGAAAAAATCACAGTCCTTTTAAAGCTTTCAAAATTTCAAACATGATTCACCCGCTGAACCTCCAGAGCGCGAAGAATACGAGTTGTCATAAGAGAACAAAATTTAGGACAAGCACGACATGTATGAAATTTGGCTTTCACTACGAGAACGGTAACACGCAGTACAGTATTTTGGGACTAAGAGCAAGTACCTGACGTGCATTAAGAGATTCTTCAAATTTTCCGTGAAGATCGTGCTTCACGAAACACTGATTTTCGACGCAACAAAACTGTACGTAGCACTCGGCCGTATCCAAAAACAAAAAACCACAAGTTTCCCTTCCCAACACACGTATTCTAAGCAAAAATTTTCCATTCTCTCGATTTCCCAATGCTTTCTTCACTGATTTACTTTCGTAATTTAAAAGAAAGCTATTCTGGAAGCTCGCATTCTTTTTTTCGGTTTGAAGAACAGTGAATAAAAACGCTACGATGAATTCGGAGAGACAGGAGTTGAAAGAAAGTGGGCTCACAAACTGGATTCACATGAAAAGTTAGCTACGTATCAAACAGTGAAAAGTTATCGAACAACTAAAAATGATAGGATGCAGATTTCTATAGAAGCATGCTGAGTGGAAAGTCCGATTGAAATCTTGCTGACAATGCGCCAATCATGGACTGAAGGCTGTTATGCGGCAAGAAATAAATATCGTCAGTGACAAAGGCAGAGGACATTCAAAATTGAGATGGAACAGAGGACGAATATCGCAATCCTTGACGACGGTCTCCGAATTTTCAACGAGCTATGAACATAAAAAAAATAATTTTAACACGAACAAAAAATAACGAGCGAGTACCAACAGCGACAGACCGTGTTCATCTTTTTTCTTATCCTTCGAAGCAACATACGTAGTCATATTTTCTGCGTCATCGTACCCGTATCCACCCAACGGATCCTGCTCCTTATTATTTTGATATCTGAAGTACGAGAAATTGCCAGCATACGAATGCTCAATCGTTTCTGATTCCAAATTTCCGACCGTCATCGGAAGAGAGTCACGTGGACGTTTAATGAGCGTACGCTTCCCCGCGGTGGAATTTGACGAGCGGACGTGTTTTGAACTTCCATTACGATTTTCACGACGGAGTCCAGCCGGTTTCATCGACGACTTGGTCTTAGGTGTTGCCCCTGTAAAAGATGGACACACAGCTAATCAGAACCTATTCATTGGACTCGGAAACAAGGGAGCTACTACTTTCTGTGAAGTATCAACCCCTCACCAAACATGTTAGGATGGCAGTACACGGACAATACTACTGAGCATAAGTTATTTTTTTTAGCAGTTGTTGTATATAATACCTCCGATGGTTTAATGGCGCTATATCTTTAAGAAATCCACATATTGCAGCATGTTAAGACTAATTACTATTTCCGGAAATACTGGTGCTTCAGTAAACGGTATCCACCCCTAACAAACATGTTCAGGTGACAATACAGGAACAATATTCGTCTTTCTTCGGAATCCAGCTTCTCTGAAGAGGAAGCTTGCAGCAGCATCAAAAAGCTCACGAAAAGAGGAAAACAAAACAAAAGAAGGCGTGGATATGTACAGAATGCCAAAGCAAATAAACCAGAACTCCCATAACATGTTCCAGTTAACCATGCCCATTAGAAGTTCCCGAGCGAGAAGAAAAACCTGCATAATTAAAATTGCCGGTGAATTTGCTAGAATTTTTGTTCCTTCATTTCGATAATGATGCATAATCAATAAAGGTGATCGAATAAAGATGCTGTTCGAATCAGTCGTGCCACATTCGTAATTTATTTTATTGGGTTCTCAATTTTCTTTAAACCCCGTGTTTAAATTCTGAAACACACACAGCGTATATGCTGTAAATTGAAATGAAGTAGATGCCACACTAACATGTTAATACGCTAGATGCAGGAACTTCAGGAAAAGTAAATCTTAAAATTGCACTAGAGGTACTGTAGTATTCAAGTATATGCGCAGGGTCTGTCATTTTAGAGACAGAATGAGATTTAAATCTCACTGTGCTTTTGATAGAAAAAGTTGGCTCAAGTTTCTACGGTTCAGATTATTTAGATTGAATGGAACGCTTTCGAAAGAACGGATCTGAAGAAGAAATTCCATTATTTTTCTAGCCGAAATCGGCCGGCGAAAACATCTGCAGTTTTCTTCCCATCACAAAAATGCTACCTTTGCCTAGTTCATGCGGTTTGCGGTTCATGCTTGACGTTGTCCAGAGGATGAAATTGCATCTGAAATTTGTGCATTAATGAAATGCATCTGTGCGCATAAAAATGTATCGAACTGCTTCAAAATCTTTTCAATTGCCAGTGCTGTCAGCGTGTGACTTATATGATTGAATCGTTAGAAGACCGCAGATTCGGAAAGAGAAATCAACGTTAATGATTCCGTTCTGTCGTGTTTAAACTTATTGGGGCAAAAAAGAGCCAGGAAAAAAATTTTCATTCGGGAGAACTTTTCGTCAGTTGAATAAGCGATTTAATCAAATGTATAGGAAAAAACATCAACTACAGTTTTACTTAAAAATGGTATATTTAAAAAATGGCGGACAAAAATGTACTGCTTCTCAAAAACGATTTTTCGGACAAATCTTTTCTTTTCAAAATGTAACAAAAATTACATTGATACTGCATCTAAAAATTGTAGACATCCAGAGTTCTAAGAGAGAAAATTCGATCATTAAATTTAATCGAAAGGAGCATTGTCTGCTGCAAAGGAGGAATGCTACCCCACGTAACAATGCTCTTACGGAGCGTTTGAACATTTCCATACCAGTTTCCGGGCGCACTTTCGCAAGAGGTTCATTGCTTTTGCTCGGCAGAAGGCCAGCGGCAGCCTCGAAGATTGCCCAAGAATTAGCCAAGTCAGCAGGGGATGCGGTTAAACTTTCATCCGCTACTTTGAAACTCAAACGCGGCGATCTTCCTCCGGGTCCTGGTCCACCTTGAAGATTTGGATCCAACGTAAAATTATGTCTGCCAGATAGATGTGGAGACGAGGCAACGTCTCGCAAAATCCGTTCAGCCTCTCCCGGTTCACAATTATTTTGACGACAGATTTCCTTGACCACAAATGCAAACGGAAGCGGATCGGGGCGGCGTATTACACTGCCGGATGCATTTGAACGACGGATTTTCGGGGCCAATATCGGATAACAACTTTCAGACAGAACAACATTCCCGATGCTCGTTGTACTATTAGAACCAACAGCAGGCTTTCCGTCTTCGCAGAAGTCAGCAGAGCTGGACTCATTCGAGTTGATCGGTAGAAACGCGGGGGAATACGAGTAGGGCTTAAATGGAGGCAGATTCTTTACAGGCCGAAGGTCATACAGAAGTCCATCCAAAAAGCTATGGTCAAGGATCTCCATCGACTGTAAGACAAACGTGGCCTCATGGAAGATTCGGCCATCACGATCCCAATGTTTCCGGACATTTTCCAGACTGTTGTATATGTTCAGCTGATGCAATCGCGACGAGCCAACTGGCCCTATCTGGAAACGTTACCAAATAAAGAACCTGAAATTTTGGCGTCCGCTAATGGATCGAAGGTTGTCAATTGGCGAACAATTTGGACTGAAACGTGGAAAAATCCAGTTATACAATTGCAAAACAAGCTTATGTACTCAATTATTTTCCAACATTCGAATATTTAACCAAAATCGCAGCAATTGATCTTAACTCACGTACAAGTACAGTAATCAAATGACACCTCGAAAAAATGCCGGGATGAAGAAAATGCTCGGTGGCCTTTTCGTGGGAGAGAAAAGGCCGCAGACAAAAATTTATAAAATGATGCCTGAGAAAATGTGATGAAGATCAGAAAAAACTTTGCGGGGAAGAATTATTAAAACAAAAAAACCAAGACGAGATTCCAAAAGTCAACAACAAAACATATCGGAAGAAAAATGTTAAAATCCCCACTTCAAAAACGAGTGACGAAAAATGAATGTGAAAATTAATATGAGTGCCTTTTAAAACAAGACAAGAACGTACAAATGTATCCCTGAACTCGGTCTCCAGCAACGTCTCGTCTAAAAATGTCTTCCCAAGTCTCCCTGACACCAGTAATATTGCAAACCCACCAATAGAAGAGAATCACTAAGTAAAGCCACAACCCCGATACGAAAAAATCGGTTGATTTTCAATCAATAGTGCTAATAGCGGACTCATGGCAACAATAACGTACCGCAGCGACGGAATACATGATGCCAACTGCCCGCTCAATAATCTGATGCAAACGCCTTTGTTTTGGTCCGTACGGCAAAGTCAGGATATCTGCAACAAG